TATATATAAACAACAATTAATTAATTGTAAAAATTTATTTAACCCATTAAAAGAAAACGAAAAATGCGCAAATGTCATCATTGGTGGCAACAATTAAAATTGCTGTATGCTATGAATGAATGAATTAAAAATGGAGATATTCTTTTTATTTATGCACAATTAATTGCGTAAAATATGTGAAAAAGTAAGCGATATTTAATTTAATTCATTTCCAAAATGAAAAAAAAAATCATCGAAAATTATTAATCATAAATGAATTCAATTCAATTGCATGACAAAAAAAAACCCTATTATTTATGCATTTCATTTTTACCCTTCAGAAACCGGTTCGTATTTTATATCATTTCATAATGATGGTTAAAACTCAAATTTCGTAAATGATTACTAATTGGAGCAAAGATTAAAAAATTTCACCCTGTCATCATTTTTTTTCGTGTTGTTGTTTATTTGTCAGATCAGTTCTTTTTCATTCCTTTTAACTCTGTCATTTTCGTTGCAGAAAAATATGTTGAAATTATAGATTTTGCTTGCTTTTAATGAATGCAACAAAATAATGATACACATGACAAATTTCATAAATTATTTTTTAATACCACATTTTGAGAATTTTTTTTGTCTTGTTTTCAATACCACATCGGCAGACTTTGTAAATTGTTTTTTAATATCAAATTTTAAGAATTTTTTTTTGTTTTGTTTTTTAATACCACCACATTTTAAGGAATTTTAAGAAATGCATTTTAAGAATTGTAACTAACACAATCAGTTATCAGATAACTTAAATTTGAGAAAAAAAAAGTGACCAATTAACCCCTCGACATCTTCGAAAGATATCATCAAGTTATTTTGCTTATATCCAAAAGAAATCAGATCAAATTTGTTATCATTTCAATTCAATATTTTTAATTTTCATTTTATCAATCAAATTTCAAATTTTCGTAAAAAAAACATGGAACAGGTGCAATTTATTATCATTGAAGCAAATATAAAAATGAACAAAAATCAAACAAATATATTATAATTTTAAAAAAAAAGAAAAAGTAACAAAAATTAATAAGCACACATATTTTTAAAAAAAATAAAATTGTTACAAAATACTGTCCTAAACATGAAATAATATAAGTAGTATAAATTTTTAAAAGTAAACTTACTCTCCGATACCTAACAAACAGAAAGTAATTATAACATTTGAATATGCTAGAATATGAAAAAGTATATGCAAGCAATAGCTTCCATCTAATCTAAATTTACAATTATAACGAAAAAAAATTAAGCGTAACCTAACCGTTTTATTAAATATATTCATTAAATTATTATATAGACTGAATAAGATCGGACTGATGCGGAAAAAAATAAATATGAAAATCAATAAATTAGCCAATTTGACTGCAAAATCATTTAGTCACAATGAGCAATTTAAAATATTTTGTCTATTTTTTAAATTAAAAAAATGGATTTGAAATGAACTGAAATTCAAGCATTCGAATGTTTACAAAGTTGTCGCTTAATTTACAAAAATTTTTTACGGCAATGCAGTGAGCAACTTTTTAATCAATAAAAGAATGAGTAATCAATGACTCTAAAAAAAAATGATTTTAAATTTAATGGCTTTAAAAAGTTATGAAAGAAAAATTCATGTAGCACAACACATCCACTTCATTTTACAAATTTATAGAATTGAAAAATTTCTAATTACATTTTTAAACGAATTCAAGTGTAATCAAACTTCATAAAATATCTAATCATTGAAAACAACAATTATATTATAATTACAGCACCAGCAACTACAAAAGGAATTCATTTGAGGAAAAAAAAAATACAAAAACAAAAAAGAGACAAACGAGAAAAATATGAATGATATCTCGAATACAAAATAAAAGAAATTTCTATGCAAACGCAAAAAGAAAATTGAAACAAAGAAGCATTTATAAACATGACAAAAAGATTTAAATTATAACGCGTTTTTAAAAACAAAAAAAAAACTTAAATTATAATGAGCTTATTACAACAATAACAAATAGATTTCGAGATACATTTATTAAAATTTTTAGAAATGATTGATTTTAATGGAAACGAAATGTTCTGTTACCACCGATGAAGTGTTTTTATCTAATGCCACCTGATCCCATTGCTGTCCAGTACCAGATTTTAAAGCTAATGACCAATTCTCACTACTGTTTGACATGGAATGAGGTAATCTGAAAAAAGATAATTTGAATCAATTAAAATGAATTTAAAGAGACTTTACGACCAATGAACAAATACCGAAACTGATGTAGAACTTAATAAAAATTTGCAAAACTTTTGAGAAAAAAAATATGCTTGCTTATTTGGAATCAAATTACGTATTTAGCAAATATTAAAAAAAATTTATATGCTAAATTTTTATTTTTTTTTCATCTATAATTTAGTAGTACAATAACTTTCATGTGAAATTCAAATTAAAAATTTAATATATGTATAGTTTTGAAAGAAGTCTCTCTTCCAGAATGAATACAAAATCTACAATCAAAAAAAAAAAAAACAAAATATATGTAAAAGAATTACCGTAATTCAACTGGGACATTGAATTGCAAATCCTGAGGACCACACATCACCAATGGACTCATTAAACTTTCACTCCGACTTTCATCAAGTGGTGGTCGATTTCCGGCATCACTTGCTCGACAAACTTTCACGTAAATTTCTTGTTGAACCTAAAACACCAACAAATTCAAGTGTGCAAAATTGCTTAGGAATTTCGAATTAATCAAAAATTAAATTACCGAATTTTCCAAAAAAAAACAAAAAACAAAAAATTATTATTATTATTTTTTTGAAAAAATCTGAAATATGGTAAACAATACTCTAGGAAAAAATATATATCATAATTGTATATATCATAATAAAATCTGAAATGGAATAGTATGCTCAAAATGGATAAACTTACATCCTCATTAATTGCACCTTCGGGAATGATCAATGAAACACCGGTCTTCGGACAATTCAATATTCCACCGCGAATATCTATCATTCCTGTCGCATGCTCAATAACTGCAGGATCCGAATCGGTACTTGCAACGGTTTCCTTTGTGGTACCATTATCTCCATCAGGAATACAATCATCCGCTGTAGCGTTTAAATCATTTGTTGGAGATGCATGTGACAATCGCAAAATTGAACTGTCATCATTGATGTTATGCATCGTTTCATTATTCTCGCTAAATATTATCTTGATTATGAATTGTTTGAGATTTAGAAGGATGTGAATTTTTCAAAAACTAAAGAGAGTTTTTAGAGTTTTTAGTCAAAAATATCTCTACAGCATAGTCGAAATTATGAAATTATGACGTAGAAAAGGATAAATTTAAAAAATTCATTATCAAACTACTCATCCTTTCAGCTTTTTTATTGCAATAAAAAAGCACGAGCTAAAATAAAAATCAATTTCAATACCTTATCATCATTGAACTTTCACCCAACAACGATGATGTTGCAGCATTCGGAGTACGGAAAAGTGAATTATCCTGTGAAATCTGAGATGATACATTTTGCCTTTTCTCAGTTTGATTGCTTGTCCATCGATCTCTGAAATTTATTAATAAATGAATAAAATATTTATAAAAGCTATTATATAATTAAACTCAAAATTTATTACGAAACACTTTTAAATATCCATACTGATAATATACAATAAAATTTATTCTTATCTGAAATAACATTTCTCAGATCCGATCATATTTTTTTCAATTAGTCCTTCTTCGTTTTATCATTTAAGCCAGATTATCTAAGAAAATAGATGGTCAAATTTAAACTTTTTTATTCAATTTCTTATTCAATTACAATCCTGAATCAATCGCTCCGGCCA